TAGGTTTAGGCTTAGGTTTAGGCTTAGGTTTAGGCTTAGGTTTAGGCTTAGGTTTAGGCTTAGGTTTAGAGTTAGGTTAAGGGTTAGGTTTAGGGTTAGGTTTAGGTTTAGGGTTAGGTTTAGAGTTAGAGTTAGGTTAAGGGTTAGGATTAGGGTTAGGGTTAGGTTAAGGGTTAGGTTTAGGATTAGGTTTAGGATTAGGTTTAGGGGGTTAGGTTTAGGTTTAGGGGTTAATTTTAGGTTTAGGGTTTACAGCGTGCTTCTGTCTCCGCGCTATTGTCGCCCTGTTGATGACGTCAGCGATGAGGTTTAGTCAGGCGCGGTTTAGTCGGGCGCGGTTTTGTGGTGGAACCCACACACACAACCCCTTTCTCACCTCATGCTCAGTGATGTTGATCAGCAGCTCCTGTTGAAGGAATTGTTCAAGGATGTACTTGGGAGCCATGTCTACTAGAGACTAAAAGAGAGAAGAGACATTGAGGCAGCAGATAAGGCTGTACATCAAGAAAGGGGCTTCAATATTTTGGAAGAGACTTGATGGGGAAAGAGAGACAGAGATTGCAACCCCTCTTCCTGATACCTTAAAGCTCAAACTCCAACTCTAGTTCTAGGTTGCTTCTCTCCTTGGTTAGTTTCCATTCACTGTTTCTTATCTTGCCTTCTGGTGCTTTGGAAAATAGTCTGACTCCTTCTTCCTTGTGGCAGCCCTTCAAGTGTTAGACTGAGATCATGTCACCTCTGGTCCTTCTTTCCACTAGACTAGGCATACCCAGTTCCTGCAATCGTTCTTTGTATGTTTTAGTTTCTAGGTCCCTAATCATTTTTGTTGCTCTTCTCTGCACTCTATCCAGAGTCTCAACATCTTTTTTATATTGTGGTGATCATATACAGGTAGTCCTCAACTTACCCAAAATTTATGCTTCTAAATGAGAAATTTGTTAAGTGAGTTTTGCCCCATTATATGACTTTTCTTGCCACTTTTGTTAAGCGAACCACTGCAGTTGTTAAATTAGTAACACGGTTGTTAAGGGAATTTCGTTTCCCCATTGACTTTGCTTGTCAAAAGATTACAAAAAGTGATCACATGACACACAGACACACAAACATGGGCACACGGACAACTGTTATGAATGTGAGTTAGTTCTCAAGCATTTGAATTTTGATCACGTGACTATGGAAATGCAGCAAACAGTTGTAAATGTGAAAAACAGTCATAGGTCACTTTTTTCAGTGCTGCTGTAACTTTGAATCATCACTAAGCAAACTGTTTCCAGGATTTCTTGTACTGGATGCAGTATTGCAAGCATGGTCTTACTAAAACAGTATTAATACTATATGATCTTGAGTCTATCCTCCTATTCATGCAGCCTAGAATTGTATTGGCTTTTTTGGCTGCTGCCGCATATTGTTGGCTCATATTTAAGTGATCATCCACTAGGACAATCCTATGCTACTTTGGATGTGCTCTTCAGTGATAAAGTGGCATCCATAAAGGTGAGAAATGCACACAAATATTAACATTAAGATGGTGGGAAAACAGACTTTTATGATTAATACTTTTGAGAACTTTCTAATTTGAATGACGTTCTCTATTAAAGACAATGCCGTGGGATCTAGCCCTCCCCCGAGAAAAGACCATTGTACCCTGAAAATTACAGATCAGGATCCCTTAGCCAGCAATGAGATTATGTCAACATCCCTTCTGCCCATTTAAACTCAAGGTACCTGTTTGGCAGATGGAGTCATGCCTTGTTGCACCACAATCAGGGCCCGGGTAATATTTTCCTCTTGCATTCGCTGGCAATACATCTTGATGGTCTTAATCCCAACTTTTGGTTCCTCTGAAAAGAGATTTTTGTTTGTTTGTAAGTGGAGAATCTCCATGAAATAAAATACTTTGTTCATTAGGCCTGACATCTGCTTCGGGATTAGCATTCAAGCTCTCATTTAATAATAAATGAATTGAAAGCTTTAATAGTAAAGCATGAAGCTTGCAACTCCCATTGTTTCAAACAAACATCATTTCAATGGCTGGAATTTTAGCCAAATAAAATTTGCAGTAGTATGATAGCTGTTTCACTACTACCCTATAATCAAAAACAGCAGAAAGAGGATTACGTATTTGTTAAATTATCCACTGAAATACCATTTATTTTTATGTACTTCCATAACTGATTTAGTTGAGAAATTAGTATATGTGGAAGATGAAAGTTATAATTATCAAACCTCATATTTTATTCTTATAAATATGTGAACATTTTATCCATTATATAGGCTTTTTAGAAAAGGAACTCTTAATAGTATAACATTTTTGCTTGGTCATTATCTGGCCTATTTTTTTTAAAAAAAGATGCCATCTCCTTTAGGAATAAATGCACTCCTTCATGAAAACAGTTGTTACCATCAAAATAATTTTACTACATACTGTATAGTTTGCATAAATATGTTGGTCAAACTGTTTTTATTTCTGCCTCACCAACAAATGGCATTAAATTAAATAAAACAGTAAATAAAAAGTTCATGAACCAGTTTCTCTATTGCATCCACTGTGTATTTAAAAACAAGCAAACAAATGTCAAATTTATTCCATTCAACGTACTGGCATACTAGAACTAAAAATACAATAAAAGCCAAATATATTTCTTTAAGATACACAGATGGTAAAAGTCAGTTAGCAGAAAGAACTGATGAAGAGGGATGGGAAAATTCATTCCAGATCTTCAAAGAAAAGATTGCCTTTCAAGAACACAAACGTTTGCAAGATGTGAAAGAAACAAGAACTGAATAAAAATGTCACTGAATTAACTCAGGAAAGAAAGCAGAATGAATGAAGATGCAATCAAATTCCAGGTTCCTAATAGTAATAACCAAATCTATTTTTGTATAATCACCTGGGAAAAAGACAAACATCTGATCCGTAGGATCATCGTTGTGGGCCACCAACACTGTGAGATCAGTACGCCGAGGTCGCCCTTCACTCGGCTTATCACCAAACTGGGCTTTGAACTCTTCCAGGGTCTGATCCAATTCATCCTGTGTTACCAAGTAGCCTCGATCGTGACACAGCTAATTCAAGGACCAAAAAAAGTGCATTTTTAATATTAATATAATACTATGCTGAAGAATGCAAGTAACTATAGCGGCAAATTATAGGCAGTCCTCCACCTATGACCACAATTGAGCCCAAAATTTCAGTTGTTAAGTGAAACATTTGTTAATTGAGCTTTGCCCCATTTTATGACCTTTCTTGCCTCATTGTTAAGTGAATCACTGCAGTTGATAAGTTAGTAACCCAGTTGTTAAGTGAATCTGGTCCCCATTGACTTTGCTTGTCAGAGATTGCAAAAGGTGATCATATGACCTTGGGACACAGCAACGGTCATAAATATGAACCAGTTGCCAAACATCTGAATTTTGATCACATGATCATGGGGATGCTGTAAAAGGTCATAAGTGTGAAAAATGGTCATAAGTCACTTTTTTCAGTGATGTTGTAACTTTGAATAGCAATAGCAGTTAGACTTATATAACGCTTCATAGGGCTTTCAGCCCTCTCTAAGCGGTTTACAGAGTCAGCATATTGCCCCCAACAACAATCCGGGTCCTCATTTTACCCACCTCGGAAGGATGGAAGGCTGAGTCAACCCTGAGCCAGTGAGATTTGAACAGCCGAACTGCAGAACTGCAGTCAGCTGAAGTAGCCTGCAGTGCTGCATTTAACACTGCGCGCCACCTCGGCTCTTATGGTCACTAAATGAACAGTTGTAAGTCGAGGACTACCTGTAGTGAACCATTCATTTAAGAACCTATACTAAGGCAACTGTCGACAATAAAGCAACATCAAAAAGTGGACTGTCTTTGCCAGCAACCTAAATATGTCAACCTTGAGACCCCCTCCTCACTATTTCTTCTATGTTTTCCTTTTTATTTATTCTCATTCAAGCAATATAATATATAGTCTCCCTTGAGTCAGAAGTCCTGGTAAATAGTATATATGGAAGCATTCATGTAGTTTTCTTGGCAACAGTATGGAAATGGTTTGCCTTCATCTAGATTGCTTTTCATTTTTCTAATCTAACCCATCAGGCACCAACAGATGGTCCGTGGACCACTGGTGGCCCTCTTGAAAATTTTGGTGGTCCGCAGAAAAATTATTTGCATTTCTTATATTTCACTAAATACTATTTATCTTTTTAGAAAATTCATATTAGTGGTCTGCGGGATTTAAAATTATGAATTTAGTGGTCCCTCAGGTCCAAAAGGTTGGTGATCCCTGGTTCAGCCTACAACTCTAGGATTATTTAACAGTCTTTGATCTGATTTTAGTTCTTGGAGATTTTCCAAAGTTGACTACAGTTGGTGCTACTGCTAGGTCATTAACTTTACCATTAACTCAGACAGATTTTGACCTGTCCCATCCCAAACCTACCACTTTATTACAAAATTATCATTATTATTTTTTTAACTAATGCAGTAATTTTGTAGCTTTGGTGAAAGCACAATATATTTTAATTTGCAAACAAGCCGGAGCAAATTACCTACTTCAAAACAATCCAATTAAAACAAATACCTAAATATTTTGTAAAGGATTTGGGAGCACTGAACCCAACTAAGAAAAATATAAAATAAAAAGAACGGGCATTTTCTCCCTTCATAACGTTCAGGTCAGAATGGCAAACCCCGTCAGCTGTGTCCTACCCCCCATTCCCAGGGTCCAGCTTTCTTCCCTCCTTCTCCTGACCTGCATGATTGTTTTTCGGATTTTCCATAACCGATAAGTTTCTTCTTCGTCGTCCATGATGCCCCCTGACAAGACCGCCACGGGGATGCCAAGAAAACGGCTCCGGGAGATGACGTATTAGGCACGCGACGTGTGGGCAGTATTACGCATGCGCGAAGAGAAACGAGCCGTTGAAGAAGATTTGCGCACGCGCAGAAGGCGAGAAGTAGGAGAAGAATCTAAGGGCATGGGGGTTATAAAACGAATCGCCTTCCTCCGTCTCTTCTTTCTGCCTTCACCGTGACACTGCGCACGCGCAAGAGCTAAAGTAGGGCGGAAAAAAGAGACGTTCGGGACATGATTGTGGCAAAGCGCAAGCGCAGTATATAACCACATGGCTCCGAGTCTTCCTTTATCTCTCCATCCCTTCTCCGCAGCTGACTTTGTTATCGGGACAGATTTGATGAAAGGAACCTAGATTTACCAAAAAATAACAAAACTTTGCGGAGTGACAAAACTCTTTATCAGGCTCGACCTCGTTTGCATAATGTTTAGGTCTAGCTTTGCTTAATTGCAATGAGAAGGATTGCCAAAAAGTTAAATGTGCTCATTTTTTCTTGTCCACCATTGGAAAAGTTTACCAATTGTATAGATCATGGGGTGGAGCAATATCTTACTGTGAGAGAAAGGGGAGATGGCCAAATGTGGTCCTGTGTTGATGTCCCAGACAGCAGAGGTTCTCCCTGGGTATTGTGGAAATTGGCCCAAGAGATTTGGGTTGGCAGTAGGAACCGTGGAGGGTGAGATATGACATCATCAGCTTCATAATATTGCTATGTCAGCTGTGGCCTTTTTTCAACATATCCTGCAATGTTGCTCCATGCTCAGAAGAGTTTAGCTTGCAAGATGACATTCTGACGAAAGCAATAAGCTCCTGTGGACACCACTGATTTAGGAGAGCAGAGACCATCAACCACAAGTAGTGTGATGCAGCAGCTAAACAGGTCAGGGTTAGGGTTAGGGTTAGTCAGCTTTGTGAACAAATATGTGCCATAGATCACAGGCGGTAATAATAGCCCTAAGTATGGGTGAGACTCTACAGTATTTGGTTATTAGAGTCAAAGCTATGGTTTCCCCAGTAGTAATGTATAGCTGTGAGAGTTGGACCATAAGGAAAGGTGAGCACCAAAGAATTGATGCTTTTGAATTGTGCTGGAGAAGACACTTGAAAATGCCTTGAATTGCAAGGAGATCAAGTCAGTCAATCCTAAAGGAATCTTGAAGCTGAAGGTCAAATACTTTGGCCACTGTTGGAAGAAATGTCCTTCTGGGTTCCGTTCCAAGTGGGGAAAAAGACACTGGATTCACGGAGGCTATTGGAAAGATGGTTTTAATGGTAGACTGGATCACAGGCGTGGAAGATGTTGGGTGAAGATAAAAAAGGCAGAAATGCTGAGAGTGCCTGAGCTTTATAACCTCTTTGGGCTTTTGAATTTGAGCTTGTATTCTGATTGGTTGTCAGACTCCCATGGGCCCATGCAGGGATAACTCTGTAGGCTTGGTTGAGCCTTGCTGGATGATGTAATCTTCCCAGATGCCATGTGGTGAGATGGGTCGAGGGCTAATCCTATCATGTCCTGAGGGCCATGATTTAATCCCATCACCCTGGAGCTGAAAGGTGGGAACAGAGAGCTGCTTTGTCTTTAAAACATGTTTCTCCTTTTCTCGTGCAGGGAAATATAATATTCTGCCTTTTTAATATTTCCTAGAATATTTCATTATTCTGGGAGAGGCGTGGGTGTTAACTTCCTACACCATCAAATGAGAAGAGGGGACTCATTTGGAAAAGACCCTAATGCTGGGAAAGATTGAAGGCAAAAGGAGAAGGGGATGGCAAGGGATGAGATGGTTAGATAGTGTCATAGATGCAATGAATGTGAATGTGGGCAAGCTGCAGGAGACACAAGAGAACAGGGGAGCCTGATGTGCTGTGATCCATGGGGCCCCGCAAAGAGTCAGACATAATTTAGTGACTCAACAACAACTTGTTCATCCCACTTTAAAAGGGGGTATGGAGAAGCTGGAGCAGGTTTCGAAGATTGCTGCTTGGATAAGAGCTCTGGAAATTAATCCGTTCTACGTTGCTGGAGATGCTTAGCTTGCAACAGACAGAGGGGAGATAATGACCGGTACCTGCAAAAGGTAAGAGAAAGTGACGCTGTTTTCCATTGTAGCATCCCCATGGTCACATGATCAAAATTCAGATGCTTGGGAACTGATTCGTATTTATGATGGTTGCAGTGTCCAAGGATCATGTGATCACCTTCCTTGATCTTCTGACAAGTAAAATCAGGGATGGGCTTCAAAAATTGCAGCAATGGGTTCCCTGCCCTGTTGCTGGGTGGGCGTGGCCATGGTGGATGTGGCCTAGTCAGCGTCCTGCATCACGGCGGGTTGGGTGGGGGCGTTTTTCACCCTCCTCAGGCTTTCCTTGAGCCTGTTTCCGGACTTCTGGAACCTCCAGTAGGCCCGTTTTCCCTCCTCCCTGAGCCTCCACGCGGGCTCTGCACTTACTGGCATTATGAACGGGCTGCGTGGAAACTCCTGGGCGGGGTGGGGTGGGAGTGGCCAGCCACGAATGGCATTTGGGGGTTTGCCGAACTGGGCAGAATCCTAGCTAGGGGATCGCTCAAACCCGTGCAAACCCCCAGCAGGCCACCCCTGAGTAAAATCAAAGGGGAGGCCAAATTCACTTAACAATTGTTTTACTAGCTTAAAAATTTGAGTGATTCACTTAACAACTGTGGCAAGTAAAGTCATAAAATGTGGCCGCAAAATTCACTTAAGGAATGTTTCACTTAACAACAGTAATGTTGGACTCAATTGTGGTTGTAAGTTGAGGATTATCTGTATGAAGGCCTCAAGTTTAAATAGGCTGTTTTTGAGTGGATTCATACAGGTAGTCCTCTACCTACAACCACAACTGAGTCCAATGTATCTGTTGCTAAGTGAGAGAGTTAAATGAGTTTAGCTCCATTTTACAACCTTTCCTACCATCGTTGTTAAGTGAATCACGGCTGTTGTTAAGTTGGTAACATAGTTGTTAAGTGGATGCAGCTTCCTTATTGGCTTTGCTTGCCAAAAGGTCACATATGACCCTGGGACACTGCAACCATCATAAATACGAGTCAGTTGCCAAGTGTCTGAACTTTGATCATGTGACCAACGGTTGTAAGTGTGAAAAATAGTCATAAGTCACACAGTCAAGTACTGTTGTAACTTTGAATGGTCATTATATGAACTGTTGTAAGTCAATGACTATATCAGTGGTGGGTTCCGGATCCTGGTGCAACTGGTACGGTGCAACAGGGCCGGGCGTCCACCACATGCACGCGCATGCGTACTTACCACACGCAACGCTCCAGCTGCTCGACGGAGCGTTGCACAGGCGCCGTATGCTCCATGTGCATGCCCAGAAGCTTCGATCGGCTCAAATACAGATAAGGACGGGTGGGCCCTCCGGAGCACCAGAACAGAACGGTACCTGGTACTCCAAGCAGGCACCGGTATGCCTGTACCAGGGCGTACCGGTCTCATCCCATCACTGATCTATATATAATGCACTAGATTTCTCAGTTTTGGCAACTTTAAGATGTGGGGCCTTCAACCAAATGCCAAAAAGGGAGCACTTCATGCTCGTCTGGGCTGTGAACAGGAAGAGGAACTGCCCAGAGGGCATCCGCGTGCTGGAAAATGAACTTCTGGTTTCCGGCGCAATCTTCTGGTTACTGCCGTGCATGCGCACATGCCGATCACGCCGTCGGGCATCACACCAGAAAATGGAAGACCATCTCTTCCGGTTTCCAGCACTGCCATACGCACAAAAGCCAGCTGATCGTCGCGTGTGCATGCGTGCCAGAAACCCGGGAGAGGAATGGGCGACGCCACATGTGCCAGGCGACACGGCTTCGTGTGCCACTTTGTCACAGTTAATAGGATGTTTCGGTCAGAAATTTCAAAGGAAATCACAACTGGCTGGGAATTGTACAGTTGACCAACCCAACTTAAATGCATCCCATTAAGTAGTAAGACGTGAGTCCTTAAAAGCTGGTTGGTTATGGCATGTATTTTTGTGAACCAGAGTTCTTACACCTGATACATTATGCTGTGTTGGCAGGTTTATCTATAGAGTACACAGCTCAAATGTAAGCAATGAAGTCAGGCAAAAATGGAATGCACAAACCACTGCCAATTATAATTAAAGTTAAATGTATGTAGAATAGATGCAGTGATCTGACACAACAAGAGTAATTGGGGATCATCCCTACTAAACGTGTGCCTTTGGAACTCCCTGCTTAGTTAGGTCAGATTAACCAGCCCAGATAAAAATCACTATTCTCTTGTGGTTAACTTTCTGCTGGTACGAGATACACAGACACAGACACACACATATGTATATATGCATAAACATATGCATGCATTTACTGCTCATTAATGTCTAAAATAATTTGATTGATAGGTGTCATTTTAATTATGATTGTCTTTGAACCTTTTATTTAACCTGCTTTGGTTGTGTGTTGGAAGGAAAGTAAGGTAAAAATATGAATAAATCCTAACTTCTCTGGGATTATAATCTTTGCTCATCCAGGATCAACTCTACCCCTACCGTTTTCTCAATCTACGCCTCAGTTAACAAATCCTAAAGTTGGATGGGCTATTGAAACCAGCCCCCTGCTCATGTTAAGAGTCTATAAGTAGTCCTCAATTTGCAACTATATTTGGGACTGGAATGTCCATCAGAAATCATTGCGGCTGTAAACTGTTTCCAACGTTGTAGCTTTCTTTGAGTTTCTCCTGAGAGATAGAGCTTTCATGTTTTTGATGACAGACAGCAAAGATTGTGTTAACTTATAGGGAGATCTTTTTCCAAGGTGATCCAGTCCTCAAACGTTGATCCTTCTAATCTTCTACTATTTAGCAGAATATTTTATCTGTATTTTATAGTGGCCCAGAGTTATTTTATTGGAGAGATTGGTGGCATAAGTAAGTAAGTAAGTAAGTAAGTAACTAACTAACTAACTAACTAACTAACTAACTAACTAACTAAGTAAGTAAGTAACTAACTAACTGACTAACTAACTAACTAACTAACTAGACAGAGAAAATTTAATATCTCCTCTGTTATTTCAGATTGCCCCTTTAGACAGAGGTGGGCTGCACATACTTTAAAAACTAGTTCACCTAGTGCAGAGCCAAAAATGTGAGGGCACACACATACACATGCTTCGCTTGTGTGTGCACCTTCTGCACTTTGCCTGCGTGTGCACCTTCCGTGCTTGCGCGTGGCTTCAAACACACTGTCAGCCTCTGTTTTGCTGCTTGCTTTTCGGCTGCCATTGAAACGGGGAGGGAGGGCA